CTTATTCCGCCAGCAATCATATGAACTATATAACGTATGTACTCGTAATAAAGAAAATAATGTAAAGAAACCTTATGACATGAAAATTAATACATAAAGAATGTCATTTCCACTGTTATCCAATTACTCAAGAATGTATAAATCCTTTAAATGCCTATTCATTGGTATGAAATCGAACGAACAAATTTTGAATAAACAGTGTTCGAGTGGAAAGCTAAAGTCCTAATAAATACTTACTTGTTTGTTATCAAATGGCCGATAAGAACTCGTGCACCCACTTAAATGACTTAATAAATAGACAGTCGTTGATACATTTAGTATAGTTCTACTTGGCTTACCCTTGTGACTTCTATAGTTTCTAATCAATTAAAATAATTGTTATTAATTGTTTTAAATGTAAATAATTAATTATAATATGAACTAACGTGCACTTCTTTAGAGTGTTGAACCTCATCATATTAATAATATAAAAAGGTGTGACAAAATAAAAAGGCTATCGATTTTAAACATATATTTTATGTATGTATATATATTTTTAAATGCAAAAAATATAATGGAAATGTGTGTAAATCCATAAGCTTGTGGTCTTAGCGATGTGCAAGTTTATAATCGAGAATATTCTATATCGTTCACATGTCTTGTTTCACTGGAATTTTACAAGAGTTTCTTGACATACCGATATCTCTATCTGGCGATCGTGAATGAAGATGTCGCCGAAGCCAAAACAAAATACGGGTGTAAGTTTTTATTAATATTTATTTATTTAATGTAATATTTAACTGTTCTGGTTGCACACTTGACTTTTTAAAGTATTTTTCAAGTAGTTCCGTTAGTAATACGTGGATTATTTTGCCTCATCGCAATGATGATAGTATCGGTTACGTTCGTGTCTGTGACAGATTATGATGTGTCCGTAACACAAAAAATGAGGGGAATCATTCCATCGGAATTACTAAACTAGTTTTTAATCAGATTAGATTTCATTTTTTTAAATCAGTTTTTATTCAATACGACACGGTTTAATGTTTCAGTATTTTTGAGTAGTTCCCACAGGTTTTATATACTCGTATTATTTGTATTAAGAACTTATCAAAATGAGGAAAGTAGATTTCTAAAATTAAAGACAAATTATAAGCATAATATGATAATTATTAGTATATAATATATATGTAATATATAATAATTCATAGTAGTATCTGCAATTTATAGACTAGGTAGTAAAAATACTCTTAAATATCTATAGTCTTTCTTAGTTCTTAGGAATCCTACAAAGAAAAAATCCATCAGAATCATTGCGACCGTATAAATAGCTTTTGCTATACTACTTTTCAAGTGGAATAATTCACTTCAGTGAGTATTTAGAATCGTGATATAAAGTTAGGTTATTTGTTATTTTTCTCTTTATTTTTGTAACAAATTTGCTTTTAATCCTTTCCCTGTACCGTGAATCATATATGACCATTTCGATTGTTTAACTATTGTTTTATGTCTGTTTCGCGGAGAGGGAAGCTGTTAACTATCTGTGGCGAACTATCTATTTTCAGATAGTGGAAAATTGTTTAGTGTAATAACCAATAACAAACTTTTTTTTAAATATCCTTTAAATTATCTTTAGATCTTCAACAATTTTGTCTCTTTTTATTTCCAATTATTTTGATTAAAAAAAAACTGGATCGTATCATTTATATACCGACATAAATGATGACTGCGCTAATAATGTGTAAGAAACTTTGAAAATTAAAGTGAGCTTATGTTTACAAACAGTTGGTGTAATAAAAATAATATATAAATTGTATTTAATGTATTTTACTAATTTTCAAACATATAAAAGTATGTTTGTTTGTACTGAATGTTTGTTTTTCAACCATGTATCGATTATGGTTATGTCGCATGGGAAGATAGGCCCGTACGTATATAATTTCAAAAAAAAAATTAATAAGTATAATTTACACCTGAAAAAGTGGGCGCGTTACAGAAGGAAGTCTTCGACATTTAATTACGTCAGGGCTTAGAAATATGTTTGGGGATGCGATTCATTGGCGAAGCATTTCTGATGTGTTTTTATGATAAATTCTGATAATTAAAATCGAAACCGGTCGGTAGTTAACAGTAAATATTTATGGCGAATCGAGTACATGAGTTAGAATCCTTTAAGAAATAAATTTAAGTCGTAGGGAAATTGTAAAAGGATTTTTTTAAAAACATATTTCAATTTATACACGAAAAATTACTGCCTCTTAACTTTGTCAACACAGGAAACATTCAGATAAATTAAAAATAAAATATATTGAAAAAAAATATAGAATACTTCAAAATTGTTAGGATGGAAGCAGCTTTATTTTTTTTTTCAGAAAAGAGTACTAGCAACGCTATAGTCTAATATAACTACATAATGCATTATATAGATAATAATATAATTTTTTAACATTAATTATCATATACCCTTGTTACTGGAAATGAGGCATTCCATCTCAGTCCTCGCGGGTGATAACGCATCTGCATTTTGATTTGTAATGGAAGATAGATGTAGATGTCTATGGGCCGCAGCAACCACTTACCATCAGGTGGACTGTGTGCTCGTTTGTCACCCTATTCTATAAAAAAAAAAAAATATATACATATAATTTTTATTAACACAATATTATTTCATTATTTTAACGGACTATCCGTTAAAATATTGAAATAATCTTAAAATGCTTGTGCTGGGAATGGTCCACGACACTAATCAAATGGGAGTTGTGGATTCGAACCGACGAATTCAGATTTTTTTATTTTGCAGTCCGCGCACACAATTATATTAACAACATTATGTTACAATCGCTATTAATTGTTGTTAAACTAATTGTATCAGACTGATGAGTGGTTTAATAACGTACTACTCGCAATAATCACTGCTGTGAATATGGATTTCTTGTATTGTGGGAAGAATTTGATATATCTATTTGGGAAGATTTTGATATGACGTTAAGTAGTAAAGTTACGACATATACACGTCACACTTGACTGGTAGCGCGGCCTTCCATATTAGTCCGTAGAGGTGACTACGCATCTGCATTTTGATTCTGAATCAAGAATAGATGTAGATGTCTACGAACCACACCATTTACTTCCCATCAGTTGGTCTGTGTGATCGCTTGTCATCCTTATAATAAGTAATAATAATGTCCTCCAGACCGAATTCTGTTCACGGCCAGCCTCAACGGAAACTAGCCATCGGCGCAGGACAGGATTATAGCGTGTAAGTGTATGCGCAAGCACAGGTGCACTCTCTATTCCTTCACTCTCATAATCCGATGTGACGGTAAACCGACACACGACCGGAGAGAGATGGCGTAGGGCCAACGGCTTTACGTGCTGTCTGAAGCACGGGGGTGAGACACCGCCAACTTCCCGACTCCTAGCAGCTACTGAGAATTTTTTGACGTAAAAACTCAATAATAGATTTTTGGCCCGACCCGGAATTCGTACCTAGGACCTTATGATGATTAGTAGCACTACTACAACCACTAGACCAACGAAGCAGTCTCAGTCGAGGCTTATTATAAGTATAAATTATATAAATATACACTGTTGGGCGCAGGCCACCCCTCATTTCTGAGAAGGTTGACTTTGGTACGTGTTTACGAACTTCACATGCTCTCAATATATCCGCTGGGCATGTGATCTCGCCATATTGGCCAAATTATCAATTAAAATTGTAATTTTATCGGTCCCAGCTGGGGTTCGAAGTTGATTGCGCACTATGAAATTACGGTGAGTGCTTTTGGGTCAATTATTGTTTTTTTATTTTATAGAATGAGGGTGACAAACGAGCACACAGTCCACCTGATGGTAAGTGGATGCTGCGGCCCATAGACACCTACATTTAACCTCGATCAAGAATCAAAATGCAGATGCGTTGTCACCCCTGAGGACTAAGATGGAATGCCTCGATTCCAGTAAAACGTCTCTCCGGTTCTCTACACTTACTATACGAAACACAGCAGCATTAAGCTGCTATTTTACGCTGGTATTCTGTGAGAGCGTGGTTCTTCCCCGGTCGAGCTGACCCATTCATGCTACAACCACAATAGCCGCAGCGTGGCTCTACCACGTAATGTTTAAGATATTGACGCAAAATCCGTTAAAATTGGGAACCGTCTTCCTTTTTTTACCACAAAAAAAAAAACAGTTATTTAGCAGTAAAACCGTAAGTTACATCATCCAATACGATTAACCAACTAAAAGCGTCTTACTATGTGCACTCCGACATTTCCACGTTGTTAACTGACACTAATTAGAAAATAGCCTAGTCTAGATCGCTTCTAGTTCGCAATTGTGCCCATCATTACACAAAATATTTGCTACGTTGTCTACATGCGCTTATAAACTTATAATACACTGTCGGTAGCGGTGCGTTGTGAAAGGATTATGTATTTACTTGAGTGCTTTGACCGTCTAGGTTGCGGATTTTGTTCTAGAATGCAGGATTCATATATAGCTATATTTATTTACGAGTAAAAGCCAATAGGTAGTTTTAATTGATGCCTAATTGTTTTGATTTTAAAGTTTCGGGAAATTGAGTCTTTGTTTATTGTTTTGTACACATCGAGGCATTTGAAGATTTTCAATTAGGACCTGATAAACTTTATTAAAAACATCAAATTTAGCTTCAATCAATTTATGGTACATCTGTATATGAATGCAAATAAACTAAAGAAAAAAGTTAATTTTTATAAAAAATAACTTAATAGTATAATTTCTTAGTTTATGTATTTCATTAAATTTAAACAAGACTGTAGCTATATTGATCCTTTTTTTTAAATAAACAAGTAACAAGCAACAAGCAAGTAACCTGTTTGTGTTTTTTTCTCAAGCAGATAATCGACTGATGCATTCAAGATATTAAAATCCTAATAGAAATTACCGCTGCTGGCTGCCTACATCCGCTTTCGCTTCAAGCAAATTTACCTCTTATGCTCTTAATATTCAACAAACCTAAAGTTAATTTTTGTTTGCAGTCGCACGCGACACCAAGTACCGAGCGCCGGGAGCATCTCTACAAGATCCTGGTAATCGGAGAGCTCGGTACCGGGAAGACGTCGATTATCAAGCGATATGTGCATCAATTCTTCAGTCAACACTACCGCGCTACTATAGGCGTGGACTTTGCTCTGAAGGTTCTTAACTGGGACTCGAATACAATAATACGCTTACAATTATGGGACATCGCAGGTAAGTACATACGTCTTTTCTACCATTTATTACACATCCTATTACAAGTTCGCTGCCGAACACGAGCCTCCCATATAAGTTGCCTGGTAGAAATGATAATTCTCATAGTTACAACGCATGATAGGTAATTATATATAATATAATTCTTTATTATCAACAAAAATAAATCACAAAAGTTTTTTGAAGTCTCTGACTCCCAAACTAGACGAGTCTGTATCTTAGGAATCAGCGGTCTCACCCAGAGTTGTAATAAAGGTAAAACTAAGAGAATATGCATGTTTTCATTATTACAGTAGAAACGAAAGAAAAGTAAACAATTGAAAGTTAGAAAAGTTTAATTAAATACCAAAAAAAAATTATAATATAATAAATTATTCTATATGTGCTTTATTTAATACCAAACATCTATACTATATATATATATATATATATATATATATATATATATATATATACAACACGAGCATTTACATAATATACATATGTACACATACACAAGCACATACGTATACATACATTCATACACACACATAAAAACACACATAAACATATATATATATATACACATGAATATATAAAGTCACATATATATGTATGCATGTATATATATACCACGTTAACATTAATTTTCACATAATAATCACTTCCCTGCTTTTTGTTTATTTATTTATTTTGGAACTATAAATTAAATTAAATTAAATTAATAAATTTTCCGTATTATTATAATCTAACGAAAACAACCAATCTCGAACTCTAATTTTACACTCATGTTTTGAAAGGGGATAGAAATTTAGAATTTTGTTAAGTTTGTTATAGAGTACTATATAGAGATATGCGCTTTGTCGTCTAGAAAAAGCAGTGCGACATCTGAACAGTGCCAGTACGTTGGGTATTCTACGTTTGTTACGACAGATCTCAGGGTCGTAGGGAGTGCGATCGTGTTGCTTGGTAATTAAATTCTGAACGTATAATTGGCTGACAGACAGCAACTTGCATTCGCTGTATAATAATTTTGTTGAGTATCTATAAGGTTTAAAAGTCATAGTTTTTAAATACGTGGTTTGGCAACCGCATTTTTTATTATTTTGAGTTGTTATTAGGAAGATGTTACTACCCATCTCGTGTTTCATTTGACTTTGCGACGGTTTGATATTGCGTAGAAGATATTCTTAATTCATTCCACACGGGCACTGTGTATTATATAACGTTACAGTTTGTCAAATTCCATTGCAGGACACAGGGGCTTCCCCATGCCACGCTTGGCAGTAGGTTGAAAACCGCAGTTTTTTTTAATCGTATAGTGACTGTTTAAAAATATCCACTACCCTATATCGCCTCATTAGTATCGTAAGGGGTGACAGAGGTAGAATAACCAGGTCTTCCTAATAAGACTAAAGAATATTGAATTTGTATTTATTATTGAACATTTTTTTAGGTAATACAATATTACCTAAAAAAAATTATTACCTTCATAATATTTATAGATAGATAGATCTATTATTACGTGGTAAAGCCACGCTGCAGCCATATTATGGTTGTAGCACGAATGAGTCGGCTCGACCGGGGAAGGACCACGCTCTCACAGAGTACCAGCGTAAAATAGCAGTTTAATACTGCTGTGTTTCGTATGATGAGTGTAGAGATCCGGAGACCCTTATTTAATGGAAACGAGGCATTCTATCTTGGTCCTCAGGGGTGGCAACGCATCTACGTTTTGATTCTTAATCGAGGATAAATGTAGAATGGGCCAGAGCATCCACTTACCATAAGGTAGAATGTGTGCTCGTTTGTCACATCGTTTACCACAAAACTTATTCTATATAAAAAATAATGCGTTCGGCAGTTTCAAGATTTTTACTGTTTTCATCAATCACAAGTTAATTATAACAATTCATAACAAACTTTTTTCATCCATTTCGTAAAATACTATAGTGTATACATTGGACTCCAAGAGGTCAAAAGTGTGAAATGCGTAGTTAATAGAATTATTACAATGACATTGAAGTTCATATGGCTTGTTTTGCACTAGATTGTTCTAATTCTATCGTGAGCTGCGTTACTGTAATCATTTCTATAGTGACTAGTGATTACGCTGTTGATAGGCACGTCGAACTCGATAAATTAAATACTTACAGCAATACTGAAAGTTGAAATATACATCATACATGATATGTATAATAAAGAATATTGTTTTAATATGTAATATATGTATATCGACCATGTAGTGGCGGTGTAAGAATACCGCACCCGTGGGAGCCATAAGAGGCAGCGAAGGGAAACTACAGGATATGTGCAGCAGAATTTTCCTGATAACAACGAAAAATAATAAAGAACTGAAGTTGCTAACCCGTCTGCCAAGCTCGAAGAAACACCAACCGATGGGGAAGAAAGATTTGCTTTGTAGTGTTCCTTGGCCGGTGTCAACGTTTTTTTTTTCTAGTAATTATAATTATTAGTTCAATAACAACTTTACAATTACGCTTTTCTTTCAATGTATCAAGCTTCATATTAGCCTGTTATGTGTAATTTCCCTACCCTCACTTTAATTCTGTAATTAATATAACTCGAACTAAGTTTTTTTTTAAATATCTGTTTAAACTTTGGAAAATTATGTAAGAAATAATCTGCCTACCAACGTTCTTACCTTGTAACTTTTATTTATTCTGTGCACACAACTGTAAACACACTTTTTTATTATTTTACTTTTAACTTATTTTTTAAAATACTTCGACAATCATTTCTTGTTTATGTATGCATTATGTATTTATAATTTACAAATATCACCTTCCTAAAAGAGACTTATAACTATTTTTATTTATTTAAAAGAAGTTTTTATTAAAGAATATACTATCTCAAAATTAACATAACGCAACAACGGTCACCGGTCGCAGTAGTGTCACCTTTGACAATTAAAAACTTTGACGAAATGGATGAACAGGGTTATTATTTTTCATGGATATTTCTTGTGTTAGTCGTGATCTATTTTCTGTTATTTCTTTCATTGGTAATAATAATTCCATATTAGGTTTATGAATAATGTAAGTTGAAGTTTGAATCCATTTTTGCTACATATAAATCCTTAACTTTATAATTTTTAAAATTTATAATAAGTCTATCTTTCAATAAAGGCTGGAATGACACCTACCAAAGTTATATTACTACATAGTTCGCTTTAAGCTATATGATAATGATAAGTAAGCATGAGTGATAAAAATAACTCAATATGATCAGTATACAAAAAATGGTAATATATTGTTTTGGGTATAGTGCATTGGGGTAAGATCGGTGATGGGGTAAGACCGTAAAATTCAAATTTCCGGTGAATTATGCTATATTTTTGAAAGCTAGCAATATGGTACAAGACTCCATTTTATTGTGCCCCGACCCCAAGTTTAAGCCAGTCGCTCCGAAAAGTAGGGCGTGTGCTGCGCAGTATTTTATAAAACAAGGTAATTTTTGTAGTTTTTTCGTCCGTCCGGTCTTTCCCTATCACTTTTATTTGCGATTTTTAGCGACGTCCGGTCCTTCCCTTGATGGCCAATTCTTCATCATGCATATAAAAAATTATGTCTTGTCTTCGCACACGTTTTAAGTAGAAACTGTTGAGTTTTGAAAAGTAAAAGCTTCTTATAGCTAAATTACGTGTAACCATTAACGATTTGCGCCATGTTTCAGAAATCTGACGTATATGGATGTCGAGAAAATAAAGTTTTTGCCCGACTCTTTTAACTAGTCGAAAAACGTCCGGTATTACCCAAACGCACCTTATATTTAAACTTCTTCAACTTCTTCACTAGCCTGAAAACGGGCCGCTCTTCTTCTTATTTTGTACCGAAGATTAGCCTTACTCGCCATGCTTGACAGGAAGATTGACTCGTAGGTCCAAATACCTCCACCCTTGACGTTGCTCCATTAAATATTCTACATCTGGCGCAAACATAATGGTTACAATGCATGTGAGACTTTTAGGCATTAACTATAGTAGCGTCCTACGAAACCTTGAAAGATGTGTTGAATAGATTTTTTTCTGGAATAAGGATGACAAACGAGCATAAACCTGATCATCACCTGTCTACCTGATGGTTAGTGGATTCTGTGGCCCATAGACATATATACTTATCTATCCTAGATTAGGAATCAAAATGTAGATGCGTTGTCACCCCTGAGGACTAAGGTGGAATGCTTCGTTTCCAGTAAAAAAAGTCTCCGATTTTCTACACTCACCATACGAAACACAGCAAAATTAAGCTGCTATTTCACGCTGGTATTATGTGAGAGCGCGTTCCTTCCCCGGTCGAACCGACCCATTCGTGCTACAAATGTATATCTACTTAAAAATTATATATGTAGATTCTCTTATTACGCCACCAAAAGCTATATATTGGATGACCTTATTCACCGTCTGGAATGAATGTAACATGTGAGCAGAATGCTGAGAAGCCTATGGTACTGATATTTTACAAAAAATAAAACAAAAATTTTGAATTTTTGTATTCACATGTTACACCCATTTTTTTCGAGACGGTAAAAAAGGTGCTCAATATAAAACTACTTATTGGATTTTGATGCCATTTTCGTTCATTCGTGGTGGTATTACGCTGCGGCTGTTACATGGCTGCAGCACGAATGTGACGGCTCGACTGGGGAAGCACACTTCCACAGAATACCAGCGTAAAATAGCAACATAATGCTGCCATGTTTCGTGAGGTAATTGTAGAGATTCAGAGACTTATTTTACGGGTAACAATGCATTAATCAACAAGGCATTTCATCTTAGCCTTCACGGTTGATAATTTATAAGCATTATGATTCTTAACCGATGACAAATGTTAGTGTATCCGGATGAGAGCATCCAGCTACCATCAGGAACACTGTGCTCATTATTCACCCATAACTCTTAAAAAAATTAGAGAATTTCATGAGGAAGTTTTCACATATAATGCATGCAAATTTTACGTAAGGATAGTAAAGAAATGCTGGTGTTTTGTGATCGTTTAACATAATGATAACATTGAAGAATCTAACCCGCGTAAAAGCCTATGTGAGTTTTTTTTTTTTGAATATTAGATGTAATCAGAAGAACTCCTAAAGCAATCATCGGTCTCTTTAGTGAATCTCTTTTTATAGAATAAGAATGTAATAAGAGGACACTGTCCACCCGATGGTAAGTGGATGTTGTGGCAAATAGACATCTGCGTGTATTCTCAAAAATGCAGATGCGTTGCACTCCTGAGGACTACGATGAAATGCCTCGTTTCCAGCAAAAATTCTTCGGTTCTTTACACTTAGCATACGAATCACAGCAGCATTAAGCTGCTATTTTTCTCTTATATTCTGTAAAAGCATGCGGCATCAGTAATTTAGCTGCAGCATCTGTCACTCACAAATCGGTTCAATTTTTTAAAATGAACCCAAAATATGTGGAATAAGGTCCGTCACCATTACAGCCTATTAAAGTTCATTGCTGGACATAGACCTCCAACATAGATCGCCTCATAGGAAAGATATTTTTAGGGTTGGCAACCGCAGTTATATTTTTATTTTTAGTCGTTTTGAGTAATGTCATCGGCATAGAACTCCATTAATTTTCAAACTCATTCAGCCTCAAAAAGGTTATTTATTTAAACTTGAATGAAAACAAAATGAACTGTTATCAAAGGAGTTCATAATATCATTTAGATTTTTTATATAATAAGGGTGACAAACATACATACAGTCCACCTGGTAAGTAGATGCTGTGGCTCATAGACATATACATTTATTCTCGATGAAGAATCAAAACCCAGATGCGTAGTCACCCCTGAGCACTAAGATGGAATGCCTTGTAGTAAAAAAGGGTATCCGGGTCTCTACACTCACCAAACGAAACCCAGCAGTATTTACCTGCTATTTAACGCTGGTATTCTGTGAGAGTGTGGTCCTTCTCCGGTCGAGCCGACCCATTCGTGCTACACCATAATATAGCTCCAGCGTGGCTCTATCACCTTTGATAATCACTTTAATAACTCTACAATCTGTAATCTATCAAATACAATAACTGATTTTTTTGATAATCGAATCTAAGAATAATTGTACATTTTTAGGACAAGAACGTTTCGGCAACATGACCCGAGTGTATTACAAAGAGGCGGTGGGTGCGTTCATAGTGTTCGATGTGTCCCGAGTAGCAACATTCGATGCGGTGGTGAAGTGGAAGAATGACTTGGACACGAAGGTGCAGTTACCAGACGGATCACCGATACCCTGTATATTGTTGGCGAATAAGGTTTGTCTATATTTGTTTTGAAACAAGAATAGAAATATACATTTAGTTTTAATCATTAAGCCCGCTTCACATTGGGTCAGTAACAAACGTCAGATATAATCAGTAAGTCAGCTATAACTACGTACTACTATTGATGTTAATATTGACACAAAAAAATTGGGTGACCATTTATCGGCGACAATACGGGAAGCTCTATTCTATGCTCTATGTTCTTTATGCTAGTTTACATGCTGAAATTCCCGTGCCAGCGACGTTGACTTCCTCTGTTGCTGACCAATTAGGTTGACTTAAATGCGCTTGAAGTTTTGTGTAAATTTTTAATTAAATATAACAAAGGACGTCACAAAAATAAAGCCATCGTCAATACAACTAAGCAGTACAAAATATCGATTGTCATATCTATAAAATATTTGTTTATACAGCAGCTACCGCGTAGTAGCGGTGTAAGAATATCCACTATCCCATAACATCCCGTAGGTGTCGTAACAGACAGAGGGAAACTAATCAGGAGATACGCAGCAGTATCTTCTTAATAACGACTAGAATAACAAAACTGCGGTTGCTTCGTTCGTTCGTTTGCCAAGCGTGGCAACTATGGCATATATCCCTCCTATGAGGCCATCTATGGGGAGGGCTATGTTCAGCGGTGGACTTTAATAGTCGTAGCGCTGAATGATATCTCAATTAAGAACGTCAATCTATGGACTATACTAATGTAAAATACTCGCTGCCCGTGTTAAAAAAATAACTTTAACATTATATAAATATAATATTAAAGTTATTATTATTATTAAAATGTTAAAGTAAAAAGTATGTTAGGGCTGAATCTGAACGACAGGGTAAGAAATTGTGTAATAAGAGAAGAGTGTGGTTTGCAAGATGATGTTGTGACCAGGATTAAGAAAGGAATGCTTCGGTGGTTTGGTCATGTGGAAATAATGAATGAGGAAAGAGTGACAAAGAAAATTTATGTTGCAGAAGTGAATGGCAGAGTCGGAAAGGGACGTCCTAGGCAAAAATTTATCGACCAAATTGGCGATTTATTGAAAACGGGCCAAATTAGGAGTACCCTTAACCGACGAGCATGTATGCGTAGGTGTAAGGACCTGAAGGAGGCGAGAGAGGTGTGTCAGGATCGTGCCAAATGGAAGTCTGTAGTCTCTGCCTACCCCTCTGGGTGACAGGCGTGAGTGTTTATGTTATGTTATGTTAAAGTAAAAAATATAAATACAGTGCTTTGCGCTCTCTGTCGCACTTACGAGCCTTACGGCGATTGAGGTATTACTAATATAGTTCGATGCTTACGGCAGGGCAGGCAGCGAGATAGAGTAATATTTTATTTTATCACAAAGGCTTTGTTTTGTTACTGCGGTTAAAAGCATGATTATTTATTATTACGTAAACAAAACACACAGTGGCACACAATCATGAACGTGATCAAAATGCTTACACACTTCAGAAAATTCAATACAAATATTTTTTGAGCATATCTATGGCGTATTACCTTTTAATTGATATACATTGTATTCCTTTTCTTTCATAATAAATACTAAAAAAGGTTCTATTTTCGCGTTTTTAATATACTTATGTCTCTTCACGTGCGAAGGCGCTAGGTATACCGTGCCCACGGTAGTGACCTTTTATGCCATGCATATCGCGAAATTAAATCACGATATCGACTTTGAGTCAACTTTACTTCTTGCGTATTCTATGCATAGTAAAACTTCTATAAATATTTTTATAACATTGAATGAAACATGTGTATTTGTAAATAATAACCAAATCGTAACATAATAGTGTAGATAAACCTAATTTCATCTACACCCACTTTTTTAATTCTAGTTCTGTTTTTTTATAGCATTGGGAGCCCAACGAGCACACAGTCCACCTTATGGTAACTGGATGCCGTGGCCTATAGACATTTATCCTCAATTAAGGATCAAAATGCAAATGCGTTGTCACCCCTGAGGATTAAAATGGAATGCCTCGTTTCCAGTAAAAAAGGTCTCCGGTTCTCTACACTCACCATACGATACACAGCAGCATTACGCTGCTATTGTATGCTAGTATTCTGTGAGAGCGTGGTCCTGCCCCGGTCGAGCCGACCCATTCGTGCTACAACTGTAATATAGCTGCAGCTGGCTGCACATCTGAGAATTGGAAAATGAATATAACATGTTGTAACTGGTGCCATAACGTAGGTACTATAACGCACATGTAACAACTGCATCGTCCTTTATATTTTTCAAAAAACAATGTTTATTCTCAATCATGGGTTACAGAATATAAGCAATCTTTTTCACAAGATGCAGGCCAATATATAATGATTTAGATTATGTAGAATAATATTGCTTGCAGTGTGATCAACAAAAGGAGGGCATCGTGAGCTCACCAGCGAAGATGGAAGAATATTGTCGCGAAAAAGGCTTTGCGGGCTGGTTCGAAACATCGGCAAAAGAAAACATTAATATCGAAGAGGCAGCGCGCTCCTTAGTAAACAAGGTTAGTAGATTACAAGATAAGAATAACATTGTTGTCGTCAGTTATAAACTGTGTGATGTATGAATGTGTAATCAACTTCAATTGAAGCATTTTCAGACAATCTTTGTTTTTTAATGTAATAACGCATCCTTTTTAATAAGTGAGAAAAGAGCGCAAATTTTCATTTTAGAGAATATATAGAGTTTAGAGTTGGGGAATTCTGCCTCGATCCCCAAGTAAAAAAAGTCATATTCTAAGCCTAACGTTTTTTTTTCAAAGAGATTTCCTTCATTATTAAAGCTCATAATAAATAGTCGGCTAAAATTGTTATTAACATTTTAAGTACTGGCGTAGACAAATCAGTTTGTTTTTGAGAAATACTCTTTGAACTACCATATCATGTCTACACTATATCTACTTCTGCTTTGTAGATTAATCAGTTTCTTAAAATATTTACGGACATTTCCTCGCCTGAAAATCCCTCTCTAATATGAGAGAAAGCCTGTGCTCAGCAGTGGGACGTACATAGGCTGTAACTTTAACTTTTTTATGATATAATAATCACGTGCCTTTTACAGTATGGTATCCTATAATAAGAATAACATACAAATTAAGGAATAATCATAGTTTAGATGCCTAAGAACGTTAAATTTACACTTTATTGTGTAACTTAAAAATAAATACACAATACATATTTAACACATTTAATCAGTTTCAAAATTAAAAGGACACTTAAATATGGCAATAACATTTTAAAATGCCACTAAATTAATACTCAGAATTAAATGATAATTTAACAATCAAGACTCGATAAAAGACCTTTATTTTATTTTAAATTTTTTACGTATCATTAACATCTATATTAAGATGATATTTAAATTATTATATTCCGGTTTTTAAGTAGGTATATTGGTTTACCGTACTTTCTTAAAAATTAAAATATACTTTATGAATATCTATACTATATAAATATTGATTATTACTGTAACAAATAGATGAAATTAAATGAGATCAATGACAGAAAAAAAACTGTAAGTAAATATTGACTATATTCTTATTAATCAATTCTTAAATATGTACAATTAAGTCACACAGTGTAATATGTTTATCTACATGTTATATGCTTATATCTATTCCTTACATCTCAGAGGGTTGACAACGCATTTGGCTTTATGGCCTCCTTTGTTGAAAGATGACTAAATGTACTTATGAACTGGAGTGGCCAATTACTATCAGTGGCTGATCCTCGAAACTAAAACCTGTTGCACCAAATAATCTATAGTAATGAGGTAATTAACCTTGTAATTTATGTTCCTCTACTAATGCTTTGCATAAAATTATGTTTCGGTTATCCATTACCTGAATATGTGGCCAGTTTTGAAATGCTAAATAACATCTAAGAAGGTAATTTAAAGATTTTCCTACGATATGTTTGTCAATAACATTATCAATTGGTTATATTGACGCTTTTCTTATTTTAAAACGCACATTCGTTGTATAACATAATAAATTTTACTAACGTCGTGATAACTACATCCGATTACATTGAAAATACGAAAATGATCGTATCACAATTAAATTTTTAACCTCAAAATATCAAGTTAGGCTTACAAAAAGCGTCAAATACATGATGATAACTTTGAACATAATGTAATTGGTGGCAATGTAGCGATAAGGGCGAAAAATGGTACGAAAAAAAAAAAAACCCTTAAGCATAACGTCGATTTTTATGATTGAGGCTTATAAATTTTAAACAGTTATTGATTAACAAAATGGCATATACAAACGTTGAAGAATTAGCATTTGTATACAATTATTTTCGACGTTTGTGTATGATGTGCACAGTGACGGCAGGGTAAAAAAGTAAGTATAGACCTTGAGCTGGTGACAGGTGACGTTCCACGATTTTGTCGTGCATGCCTTTTAAGGCTTGATAACTAACCCTAAAATATCAAAGATTGTCGGGGCTTTAGCCCCCCCCCATAAAAAATTAGAGGGCAATTCCGTGTTTTCAAATTGCATGCCGATGTAAAGAATGGAAGTTTTTGTAATAAAAACACTCTGGAAAAATTGGCATGCACGCCTCGTATGACCAACGGTGGAAAATTTCCGGAAAACTCTGTAAAAATTGAACTCCGATTTTCCGTGATTCCAAACCGCATGCCATGGTCATACCAGGGGTGCATGGCAATTTTTCCAGAGTGTTTTTATTACAAAAACTTCCATTCTTTACATCGGCATGCAATTTGAAAACATGGAATTGCCCTTTAATTTTTTTCAAGTTTTCAGAACCCTTTGATCATCTTGGGCCGCTGCGGGGTGCATGCCATCAATTATTAGAGCTTCAATTTGCTTGAACTTCCGTATATTACAATGGCATGCAGTATACTGTCACGGAAAAACACGAAAATTCGCTATACAAAGAAAAGCGCTTTTCCTTATGAAGAGGACGCGCGAAGGGGGCTAAAGCCCCGACAATCTTTGATATTTTAGGGTTAGTTATCAAGCCTTAAAAAGGTATGCACGACAAAATCGTGGAACGTCACCTGTCACCAGCTCCCGGTCTAGTAGGGTACTTTATAAAGTAACAATAATCTTTATAGTAACAGTATTTCACAAAATTCGACACATTCTAAAGTAAGTTAGCAAGAAAATAGTGGTTTGCATTCCCCGGTAGAACCAATCCTGTAGTCAAAATACTCTACAACGTTGCTATACCACGAAAAAGTTTAAAAGTTACAACTCAATGTTATTAATAATATATATAACTTTAGCCAAAATTGCTAAAGAAATAATAAATTCTGAACTTTTACAAGAAAAAAAAGTGTTTTCAAACACTTTTGCTAAATATTAAAAGCCAGTGCTTACTACTTACACTAACCTGACTGATGGTAAGTGGTTTTGTAGCCGAAAATATTAAACCGCACTCACTTCACTATTGCCTTGAAGACTTGGTACGGTAATCGAATGGAAAGACACAAACAGATGCAGGCAAAATATGTCATCCTATTGCTGTACGCATATCGAGCGACAACGAAGGAGAGGAGAATGGTAGAGTGTCTGGTTGTCAGAGGGAAAGGGAGGAATTAGTTTTGTTGTATTAATTAGACTAACTCAGTTCAAATAAGACAAAGTCAAATATGCCTATCAGTGTTTTGAAGTCAGCGAGCCACGAAATGCCGTGTTGATTGGTACAGATCTATTATATACTCGTATAACCGAAATTAACTGGCGTTTAAAAGATGGATGGCCTCGAGGTATAACACACTAACATGTAATTTGTATTTAAGTACTTTAATGGCTTAACTAGAAAATCGAGTTCATTCTTAACTTGTACAATAGCCAATTACGTAACATAAACACTCACGCCTGTCATCCAGAGGGGTACACAGAGACTACGGACTTCCATTTGGCACGATTCTAACATATCTCTTTCGCCTCCTTTACTATGTGCATCCGAATATGTCTACGCATACACGCTCGTCGGTTAAGGGTACTTCTAATGTGGCCCCTTTTCTAAATATCGCCGTTTTGGTCAATAAACTTTCTTCTAGGGCGTCCCTTCCCGATTCTGCCGTTCACATCTGCCATACAAATTTGCTTTGTCACTCTTGACCTCATTCATTCTTTCTACATGACTAAACCACCGAAACATTCTTTTCTTAATCCTAGTCACAACATCATCTTGCATTTATCTCTTATCACGCAATTTCTCACCCTGTCATTCCGTTTCAACCCTAGCATACACCTTAAAGACCGCATCTATCTACAGCATTTGTTCTACTTTCGTGCTTCTTCTGCCACACCCAACTTTCATTGCCATATATTAAAGTAGGGACTAACACAGCATTATGAATTACCAATTACTAATTAATATTAATTATTAAATATAATTGTAATATAGAGAGACTAAAATTAAATACAAAAACTAACTAAACCTACCGTCACATATTTCTACTCGACAATGTTACATCATATTGACATTGACATGACAGTCAGTTGCGTCTAAAACACAGAATATTGTCATATACATGTAAAAGTCCACTACTGAAATTATGCCTCGTCGCTGGTCCGCAGAGGAAACAGGGACGAAAGGGCATCGCATGTTAAACATAATAAAGCGGGAAAAAAAAAAAGCAACTTTAGTAGGAAAAAAAGCGCGGAACCAACTTCGGCCCCCTTTAAATTATTAAAGGGACACTCGCATACTGTGAAATTTACAGCGAACGCCTGGCCCCTGAGCTACCACGGCTCTTAAAAAACTATTTTATTAATTCGTTCATTACAGCCCATTAAAAGTCGAAGTTTTCAGGAAAGGAAGTCGAGTTCGAATTGTTATCAGGAAAATGCTCAGCTTCACGTCTTCATTGTGTGGTCATTAATCTTCTGTTTCACTTTCCTCTGTCGCTTCTTCCGACACTTATGACTTGTGACGTCACACATACGTTACCTGGTGGATTATATTACGCTGCCAACTATTTACGGCTTTATATAAAATTTAATACAAGCAAAAAAAATCTTTTTTGTGACTTTTGAGCTTTACATTTTTTGTTCTGTTTACGCTTACTCAATAAAATCAGATATTATTAAGTATCATTTATTATTTTTTATTTCTTAAAACACGATCGATTTTGCTATCGTAAAATAGTTTCATTATTTTTAAATGGTAATGCAGTACTTCTTTTTCACCAGTCCGTAAAAGTTCCTTGCCAGACGTAGACCTCAAGTAGAGTTTTGTCTTAATCGCTACGGTTGGCAGAGAGATCAAAGTATCAGACGCTAAGAACTATGCTCAATGACCTTAATAGTGCCTCCCAACGGATCGGTCTTAAGATGAACACGGACAAAACAAAGATCTTGTTTAACGTCCATGTCACACCTATGCCGTTAGTTGTTAGGAACACTAAGCTCGAAGTTGTTGACGAGTATGTTTACCTGGGGCAAATAGTGTAACTAGGTAATTGCAACTTCGGCCGAGAGGTCATTTGACGGATTCAAGTCGGCTGGGCAGCTTTCGAGAAATTACGACACATCTTCTCGTCAGCTATACTTCAAAATGTGAAAACGAGACTCTACAATCAGTGGGTGTTGCCAGTGATGACTTATGGAACCGAGACATGGTCCTTGGTATGAGGACGCTCAAGGTCGTTCAGGAAAGGACTGTGCTCGGGGTTTCTCTGCATGATAAACTTAAAAATGAGGATATCCACAGTAGAAACAGAGTGACCGACATAGCCTAGTTATCTGCATAGATTAGTTAGCTGAAGTGGCAATAGAAGAATCGACAACCGATGGGAGAAATAGTTTTCGAGTGGCAGTCTCGTACCGGTAGGTGAATTGTAGGGCGACCCCCACTAGATGGACTGACGACCTGGTAAGACAAGTCGATGGATGCAGGTGGCTCAGGACCGTGTTCTGTGGTATGTCTCGGTGGAGGCCTATGTTCAGCAGTGGACTTGTGAAGGCCTGTAATGATGATGATGACGTGTTCATTCATGACGATGAGAGATTTTTCGCATATAATGACCTCAGATATCGCCCACGGCTTATTAAAATATACCAATTATAAAATATTTGTAATAACACGTTTATTTTTTGCTAGATCCTCCTCAACGACAAGCTACTACACAATAACGACAAGGACGGCGAAAAGTTTGGTCTCGACCATAAGATCGCGAACGGCGAGAACAGCAGAAATGGCGGTGGTAGCGGTAAATCCTGCGCTTGCTGACCCAATCGTGTAGCGCCATTTTTATTGGCCGAAACAAACTGACCAATCGACATACCATGTACTTTTCGTTGGACAAAGTGACTGATAAACCAGTCAGCTTTATTAAAATATAATCCAGGAACAATTTTTGGCATCACATTTGAAAATAAAACGGACAATCTATATAATTACATTGTCTAAAACTTAGAATGCATGTGTTCTTTTATTTTCTTTTAAAATTTACGGTAATATATTTTACGAATTTATGTACCTATAAGTACGCTTAAAGAAATACAATCCATTCCATTTAATCTAATAAGTATGTGTAATCTTTAAATTGTTCCTTGTAAAGTGTAAGGGCCTTTAAATTAATGGGTAGTTTTTGATTTGATTTATCGGTATGAAAAAATGAAATTAGTGATGATATTTTAAAGTGCCTGTTCTGATCGAATTTATGACACGTTCATATTAATGTATTTTTGACTCATAATTATTTTTGTCATTATTTTTTTCGTGAATAAATGCAGTTTTACATTGAATGCAATTTATGTGCTATAAATTACTATATCAATATTAGGTATATACTCAAAATACAAATATTTTAAGTTTACGGTTGTTATTTATAAATGTTTATTAGAAACTTAATGGACTTAATTAGAAATATAATTGTTTTATTATTATTTTTGCATTTTAATTATAATTAATAAATAATAATAAAGAAATCTAGCGGGCGCTACTCAGGGCCTTGCACGCTGAACACTCCGCTACGTTTCTTGTTTGAACCTTCAAGTATAAGTTATACTCGAAGGTTACCTTAGAGTCTATTTACCTATACATTAGTTATACTGTCATGTATAGCTAAATACACTCTAAGGTTCGAACAGAGTCGCCAGTTTCCACACCTGACCTAACCGCATAAATTCCTTCAATGTATCAAATGTCAAAGCACTAACGTGCATTGCATTTATTCATGGAGTTGTTGAGTGCCATTTATGGCTAAAGTCATAATTAGTTATATATTACATAAATAATAATAGTGTATGATGTACATCTGTGGAAATGTTGTGTAATAATAAGTATTTACCTTATTCTGTGAGAGCGAAAAAGTTATTGTAATATTAATAAAAGTGTTTAACATAATATTTGTTTTATTTAAAAATAATAATAAAAATAATGGATTTCCAAATTACAGGCGAGGAATAAGAAAATAATAAATAAAGTATAAAATTTTTCATCGCGTTTAATTTAACAAAATTTTTAAGGAAAAGTTAAAGTTAAATTAAACGCCATATAATTTGTAAAATAAGTTTTATTCAATTTTGAATATGTAACAGTTTTCTTTTTCCTTTTATAGAACAAAGGTGAGGAGCAAACACACTATCCACCTACACAACACAAACGTGTTTAATATCTGAATATCATGTTGCCAGTATTGGTATATTTTAGGTATTCCGCCGAAAATCCTCTAACCTTTCTGTTGGCTGCACCGCTGCACAACTTTCAAGCTATACACGCTCCCGCGCCGCCTATGTCCGGCGGCACGGCGCGGTTGGCTCGGCGCGTATATATAAGTAGTCTCTGTATACGAGTATATTGAATTCTATGGCATGAAGCGGCGGCGTAGCTATTCAGTTCTCTGTGTTCCTGCCTTTTAAAGTTCGAACAACTTTATAAGCATTGAATCGTTTAAAAAAATAATGAACCAATACGTACTATATCCTAGTAAGGCCAATTGCTACGTTTTTTATTAATTTTCTATTTTCTTTGATTTTATAACCTATATATCCATTAAAAAAGAATTATCAAAATCGTATTACTCTGTAATAAATCACCCCTATTTTCCCACACTTAGGGTAATTTTTTTTTCCAAATTTATATGGGACCAATTTAAAGGTAAGTATACCTTATCCAATAAAAATAATTATAAATCGGACTACTTTTTAATAAATAACCCTTATTTTCCCACCCTTAAGGTAAGAATTTTTTTTCCAAATTTATATGGGACCAATTTCGAGGTATAACTCTGTAACAAGTTATGCGTGGTCATACATAAAAAAGAATATACGTGTCGACTTGAGTACTTACTCCGTTTTTTCGTCGATTGATTACAACGATAATTGTATCGTAACATTTAGTCCCGCGTAATAGAGACGTTTTTGCAATGATGTGGGGTTTATTTAAGTACTAACTGTGAACACTTAAATAGCTAAAATCATTCTTTTACTACATTCTAATAGTAGTTTAAAGTTTGTAAAGCAATATCAAAAATATTGCTAGTATAGCAATATTTTTGATATTACTTTGATACGATTGGCAACTTCATTAACCATAATAATGCTTCTTTAACGCGATTGATACCTTCTTTGACCACAATAATGCAACTAAACAACTATTGTATTGCTATACTAGCAATATTTTTAATATTACTTTGATACGATTGGCAACTTCATTAACCATAATAATGCTTCTTTAACGCGATTGATACCTTCTTTGACCACAATAATGCAACTAAACAACTATTGTATTGCTATACAAGCAATATTTTTAATATTACTTTGATACGATTGGCAACTTCATTAACCATAATAATGCTTCTTTAACGCGATTGATACCTTATTTGACCACAATAATGCAACTAAACAACTATTGTATTGCTATACTAGCAATATTTTTAATATTACTTTGATACGATTGGCAACTTCATTAACCATAATAATGCTTCTTTAACGCGATTGATACCTTCTTTGACCACAATAATGCAACTAAACAACTATTGTATTGCTATACTAGCAATATTTTTAATATTACTTTGATACGATTGGCAACTTCATTAACCATAATAATGCTTCTTTAACGCGATTGATACCTTCTTTGACCACAATAATGCAACTAAACAACTATTGTATTGCTATACTAGCAATATTTTTAATATTACTTTGATACGATTGGCAACTTCATTAACCATAATAATGCTTCTTTAACGCGATTGATACCTTCTTTGACCACAATAATGCAACTAAACAACTATTGTATTGCTATACAAGCAATATTTTTAATATTACTTTGATACGATTGGCAACTTCATTAACCATAATAATGCTTCTTTAACGCGATTGATACCTTATTTGACCACAATAATGCAACTAAACAACTATTGTATTGCTATACTAGCAATATTTTTAATATTACTTTGATACGATTGGCAACTTCATTAACCATAATAATGCTTCTTTAACGCGATTGATACCTTCTTTGACCACAATAATGCAACTAAACAACTATTGTATTGCTATACTAGCAATATTTTTAATATTACTTTGATACGATTGGCAACTTCATTAACCATAATAATGCTTCTTTAACGCGATTGATACCTTCTTTGACCACAATAATGCAACTAAACAACTATTGTATTGCTATACTAGCAATATTTTTAATATTACTTTGATACGATTGGCAACTTCATTAACCATAATAATGCTTCTTTAACGCGATTGATACCTTCTTTGACCACAATAATGCAACTAAACAACTATTGTATTGCTATACTAGCAATATTTTTAATATTACTTTGATACGATTGGCAACTTCATTAACCATAATAATGCTTCTTTAACGCGATTGATACCTTCTTTGACCACAATAATGCAACTAAACAACTATTGTATTGCTATACTAGCAATATTTTTAATATTACTTTGATACGATTGGCAACTTCATTAACCATAATAATGCTTCTTTAACGCGATTGATACCTTCTTTGACCACAATAATGCAACTAAACAACTATTGTATTGCTATACTAGCAATATTTTTAATATTACTTTGATACGATTGGCAACTTCATTAACCATAATAATGCTTCTTTAACGCGATTGATACCTTCTTTGACCACAATAATGCAACTAAACAACTATTGTATTGCTATACTAGCAATATTTTTAATATTACTTTGATACGATTGGCAACTTCATTAACCATAATAATGCTTCTTTAACGCGATTGATACCTTCTTTGACCACAATAATGCAACTAAACAACTATTGTAAACCTATTTACGATCTAAAGCCGTGTAATTTATGCTCAAATAAGCATTACAGTAGCCGTAAAAACGTTTTTAATGCAATAGAACTAACTTAAAATGTGAAAACGATACAGAAATGCTGAGTCGCCCGTTATACTGCTTTTATGTGTTATTACTACTACCACTACTTTGATGTTGTTACTTGATAAGTGACAGATGTAAGTAGTAAAAGACGGTTGACGGAAAGTTGCTTCAATAATGTGTGACATCTGATACTGTGATTTTCAATTCGCCTGGCAAGTATGACAATTATAATTAGTTATCTGAAGTCATAAAATTAGGAGAGGGCGCTGATTGCTGATGAGATTCCTAGTTCATCATTCAGAGACTTCACATATTCACTGTATAATTAAGATTTGGGTTATCTATATAGTTTTCTCATCTGGTTGGGTCCTATAAATATATAATTATAAATGAAAATGAAAAGATAAATATACATAAATGTCAATAAAATAAAGTAAATACAAAAATACATAAATAAGTATAAGCCCAACCAGATGGAAGCCCTCGGCAGGGGAGGCCAAACGGCGGGTTAGGGGGAAAGGGAAAGAAACCAGCGAACGATGCGGGCGGTATCGAGGAGCACCGCATTCTGCATGTGAGCCCGGAGCGGTCCGTAACGGAGTCCCAGTCGCCTCAGATGGCCCGAGAGGCTAACTGGGATTAGCCCATTCGCAGAGATGACTACAGGAATAATTTTGGTCGGCAGACCACCCCACATGTCGGTCACCTCGTGAGTCAGGCCCAGATATTTTGTTTTTTATCTGATTCGGTTTTCATTAGGTTCTCGTCATATGGAATGGTAATGTCGACCAAAAATATCCTTGACTGTGCCCGGTTCATCGGCACACTTTTAGTTTATTCGCAAGAATAGTCCTGTCTGTGATGATGGCCCCGTCCCACTAGAGCCTGGCGCGGTCATTTTCGTGCTCGGCTT